GAATCTATGCACACCATGTTCTTTTGTCCCTTTATTTTATTTCTAAGACAAAATTCTATCTACACAGCTTGAGTTCTGTCCTGTCGCCGAGTTCCTCTTTGTCCCTCCTGTTTCTGTCCTCTTATGGCCCTAACTGAGCTCTTCTGCTATTGATCTCATCTTTGTCCTCCACTTCTCTGTTCATGCTCATTCCTTCCTTTCTTCCTCTCCTGATCTGACCTAAGTCCTCCTGTTCCCCCAAACTCTGCCCTGTTCTTTCTTCTCTGACCATGCGACTCTGCCCAGCCCAGGAATCCTGCCCCAGCCTTCACTGCACCCGGTTATGCAAAAAACTGTTCTGCAATGCTGTCTGGCCTGTCTGGGGACGGAAAGTCTGAGCTTCATTTGCACAAGAACAAAGTTATGCATCTACATTCTGCCTGTTCTTCTAGGCTGTAGGGGTATTACCTAGTCCAGATCAGCAGCAGGTTTGCGAAGCTTATACTGTTTGTCGCTAAGGCCTGATAGTGTACGAGCGCACAAGAAATTCATAGAAGACAGCTGATATGTTAAAAGCTGAATATCATCAAATATTCCTTGATATTTGACTTTCCTCTAGAAGAATTCCTTGACCCTTCTAGGTATGGCTTTATCATATACAGCTGAATCTCTATTTCATATACTTACAACCTGCAGCAACTACAAGTGTGGGTCAGCATGCTGGCTAGCACTTTTAGCAAAACATACGCTCTTCATAACCATGTGGCAATTAAAGTAACTATTTGGGGGAGGGGTTCTAAGGCCACTGAGCTTATCCCCAGTTCTGAACTTTTTTTTTGTTTTTGTTTTTTTGTTTTTTTTGAGATAGAGTTTCTCTGTGTAGTCCTGGCTGTGCTGGAACTAGCTCTGCAGGCAGAGGCCTCAAACCCACTGAGCTTATCCCCAGTTCTGAACTTTTTTTTTGTTGTTGTTGTTTGTTTTTCGAGACAGGGTTTCTCTGCATAGCTTTGCGCCTTTCCTGGAACTCACTTGGTAGCCCAGGCTGGCCTCGAACTCACAAAGATCCGCCTGGCTCTGCCTCCCGAGTGCTGGAATTAAAGGCGTGCACCACCACCGCCAGGCTTCTTTTTTGGTTTTTTTGAGATAGAGTTTCTCTGTGTAGTCCTGGCTGTGCTGGGACTAGCTCTGCAGGCCGAGGCCTCAAACTCAGAGACCCACCTGCTGGGATTTGAGGTGTGTGCCATCACAGCTCAGCTAAACATTTTTTCAATTTCATTTTCATGCTTGCGTTTGTGGTGCCTCTGTGTGCACTGTGTGCATGCAATGCCAGTGGAGGCCTGCAGACAGCCTCGGAGCCCCAGGACTTGGTTACAGGTGGTTATGAGCCACCTAATGCAGGTGCTAGAAACTTTCTGTAAGAGCGGTAAGTGCTGAGCCATCTCTCCAGCCTCTTCAAAACATTGAGACAGACAGCTATGGGCACACATGTCTCACACACACACACACACACACACACACACACACACACACACACACACGGAGGCCAGAGGACAACTTTTGGGAGTCAGTTCTTTCCTCCTAAGATGTGGGACCCAGAGATGGATCTCAGGTCATCAGGCTTGGCAGCTGTCCCATCTCACTGCCCCCTTTTCTGCTTTTCAGGCAGGATCGGGGTCTAAAGACTCAGGTAAGCTTTGAACTTGCCATCCTTCTGCCTCAGTCCCCTAGGAAACTGGGGTTACAGGCCTGCACTGCCATGCTCAATTTAATATGTTTTCATAAAATACTGTTTTGGGTTCCAGTGAGAACAGCTCAAGTCACAAATAACAGAGTGTCCAATTCAAGCTGGTTGAATGGACCTGTATCAACTAACACTGGGCATGCAGGGGTAGGACAGACATCAGGGCTTCCCCGGGACAATCTCTTCTGCTGTTTCTGCTCATCTTGGCCAGGAGTGGAGACAACCCCACCCAGAAGAAAAGCAAAATCATGCCTTGCTTTGTTGTTGGGGCCTTGGGAGGAGGGGTCAATTCTGCCCTAGGAAAGGAATTTTGACAACACCCTACCTCAAAAAGATAAGGTGGAGAGTGATTCAGGGAGGCAGCTAATGATGGTATCAACCCCTGGTTTTCACACCACGCCTGCAGATGCCCACACAAACTTGTATATACACCACGTACACAGAGACAAGAAAATGTTCTGATGTCAGCTGGAGTGACAGCTTTTCAACTACGGAAACAGTAAGAACCGTACGCAGCGTGGGGCTGGGGAGAGGGTTCAGTGGCGAGGAGCACCTGTAGTTCCTACCACCTGGGTGGAGTGGATCACTAACCACCTGCAACTCCAGGTCCAGGCGATCCAATCCAAGGCCCCCTTCCGACCACAGCAGACACTTACAAGCATGTGTTTGTCCGTCCACACACCCACATGCAACGTAGAAGGACAAAAAGAACCAATCAACACACCCTAAGTGGGTGAACTGCATGGCACGACAATGGCATTGCAAAACGGCCGTGAAGATAAAAACCAGGTTTCGCACAGAAACCGTGGCTCTTTACCTCTCATGCTGACACACACCATGGCCAACACGGTGCATATGATCACGGCCAGGAGAACAAGGAGCACAATCAAGTAAGTGCTGAGCAGGACTCCCCCAGGACAGTCCAGCTGCCTTCTGTGCACGAGATACAAAGTCAGACTGGCAATCCACCTGTGGACAAAGACGACAGTGGCTTCATAAAACAAGGATATGAAGAAATAAAGGAAGTTAATATTCCCCAAAAACAAGGTGAAGGTTCAACGTGGAATGTAATTTTCATCCGCAGAAAGTCTACCCAGAGCCAGACTGTTGGCACACGCGCAGATTTCTGCTCTTACTCTCTATCTGATGCAATTCATGTACTGGGCATGGCCGTGCACACCTGTAATCTCAGCACCCGAGAGGCAGAGAGGCAGGAGGGTCATAAACTAGAGGCCAGCCTGAGCCTGGGCTGTGTATGAATTCCAGGAACTGTAAGCCGCACAAGGAGCCCCCACTTAAAAAACAAACAGGCTGGAGATATAGCTCAGTTAGTAGGGTGCTGACCTGGTATGCAGGAGCTCCCAGGTTCCATGCCCAGTGCTATACAAACTGTGCACACCTGTAATCCCAGCGCTGGAGAGATGGAGACAGGAGGATGAGAGGTTTAAGATCACCCCCTGCCTCTCCCCACACACACAAAGTAGTGGAGTTCGAGGCAAGCAAGAGATGCAGGAGACCCTATCACTAAACAAAGCATCTATAAAGGTCTGTGGGAAAATACCCATCATGACTTAGAATCATGTGAGTGGTAAGCCAACAAACTGTATGTTTACTGAACTATTCACAGGAGGGTTTGTACATGTGTAGTGTAGCCTACTGTCATTCAAAACTAAGCAAACACGAAGCAAATTGTGAAAATAGCCGATAAAGTCAAAAGGAGAAGTCCTGCGGGCTCCTGATTACATTCTGTAACTCAGCAGGGAACAATGACAGATAGCGGGGACCTCCAGAAGGGAACGATGACTCTAACTTACCCTAATGAAGGCAGGCACCCCTGAGCAGGAAGGCCCATTTTTTAAAGTCATATTTATTTACTGCTGATTTGTTTATTTGGGGAGGAGTGTGTCATGGCATGCCTGCAGAGGGAGGTCAGAGGACAACGTGAAGGAGTCCGTTTTCTCCTTCCACCATGTGGAGTCCTGGGGGTACTGGGTCACTGGGCTTGGCAGCAAGCACCTTTACCCACTGAGCAATCTTGCTGCCCAAGACTGTCCTATTAAAGATTCAAAATCCAAAGCCCTAAGAGGTGTGTCATTGGAGGTGATGGGAATTTAGCTCGGTTGTAAAGCACTTGCTCGGCATGCATGACGCCCTGGGCTCAAGCACTAGAGGGAAAAAGTGAAAATGTAGGATTGGTCGCTTTTCTTTTTTTGAGATAGGGTCTTGTGCAGCCCAGTTGTCCTCCAACTCAATACACATCCAAGGGTGGATTTGAACTGATGATCCTCTTGCTGTCACTCCCCTAGTTCTGGAAATACAGGGGTGCACTGCCACCACCACTTTTGTGTGCTGCTGGGGATCCAGCAAGGGCCTCATGCATGCTAGATGGGCACTCGACAAAAATGAGTCACACCCCCGGCCCCTAGGTAACTTCTTCTGTCAGTCTTGCAAACACCAGGGCTCCATGTCAGGAAATAATGGCAAAATGAGCTGAAAAAAAAAAAAAAACAAAACCCGGCCCTGAGAAGTAGAAAGTTCCTAGAAAGAGCTCCCATTCCTTTCTCCACTGAGAATGGTTTTTCCTAAGAACGCTATTCCACGTTGCCAGGCACTAGTGCCGTTAACACTGAGCATAGCTACACTTTGCAAAATCAACCTATTACACTGGTTTCTGTGATTTGCTCTGAAATTGCAATTTTTGCAGAGACAGGTACTTCGCTACCCGCCCAGCAAAAAAGACGGGAGTGATGCAAAGTTCCAAAGCTGGGCTCCAGAAAGGAGAGACCTGGAGGCTATGGCTTTTTTGGATGCTCCCGCTTCCCTCACGCTCCTAGTGCCAGGGCTCGGCGCCGCACCCTAGCGCTCGCTCGTGCCCTGCAGCGCTGAAGGTCCGGGAACACCTGTCAAATGTACCAAGCGTCTGAACCTACGTTCTAGGTGCAGACAGACCTTGCTCAGCAGGCGCGGCTGCCGCTAAGCACCAAGGAGGGGCGACTTTTGTCGCCTTCTCCAGCCACGGTGCGCCCTCCCCGCCCGCACGGCGGCCTCACTTACGACAGCACACGCAGGAACAGCTCGAAAGACCCGGGAAAGACCAGGTCGTCGCTGGCCAGAGACCAGCGCCGGCCGAACAGCACCATCCCCGGCATGGTACACCTCCCACCGCGCCGCCCCAAGTCGCGCGCGCCCTTCTGACTCCGCGGGCGGACTGGACCCCAGGTGCGCGCAGGCGCACGCCTAAATAAAGGCTCGCGCAGGCGCCCTCAGGCCCGAGGCCTGAGCACGCGCATTGACTAGCAGCGCTGCAGCCCGCCGGCTTCTCAAATCCGCTGGCCCGGAAGTTAGCTGCTGGCCGTCGCCTGCGGGTCAGTGGTGTGTGAGGTCCGCGCCCATCTGGTCATTTCTGTTTAATAGATAAGGATAGAATGCTTTTCCCCACAGAGCCGCGGCTACTAATGGCGAGGCTAGGACTTACGCTTGGGTCTCTGAATCTTCCGAGCTTGGGACGACTGGACTGTCATTTGTGGTCCCTTAGGACTCAAGACTTACTGAGTTCAAGTCTGAAACGCCACCCAGCAGTTGGTGAGATAAGGTGTGACTCCTTTTAGCACCTCCACGTTCTCCCTTCTCTCCTACACACCGTGGTCTAGCCACCTTCATCCCTTCCCCTGGCTGGTCTCCCTATTACTCGGTCCCGTTCTGCCCCACAGTCCCCTCGCGTGACCTAGGTGACCCGTCTCACCTAGTGCAAATTAGGCCTAAGACTTGCAAAGCTGCTCCTGGACATAAAGTACATCTTAACTCTTCTCAGAGATCTCTCTCGCGGAGTCTTACTTCAAAAGTTTGTAATCCGTGCCTGTGTTCCCCCGTCTTCCACCTGCTGTCCCCCCTCCTCACATCAGGTCCATTTTGGTTCCCCAATTTTTTGTGTGTCGGTGGTGTGCATGTGCGTGTGCATGTTTTTGCATGTGTGTTGCACGTGTGTAGTAGATGTGCGTGCACAAGTGCCCGTACATATGGCGGTCTGAGGTTGATGGCAAGAATCATCATACCCAATCGCTCTTCCACTTTGTTCACTGAGGCAGGGTCTCTCAATCCAGTACAGAGCTCGCGATACGTCTGGTCTTGGTAGCCAGCTTGCTGTGGGGATCTTCTGATTTCCCCTTCCCGGGCTGTAATTACAGGTATGCTGCCACGCCCATCCTGCGTTTTCTTGGGTTTCTGGGGAGCTGAATTTTAGTCCTCACACTAATGCAGCAAGCGCTTTAACTCCTGAGCCATCTCCTTAGCCCCTCACCCCCAAATTTTAACATTTTCTGTTTCCTCTAATGGAAATGCGGCTCTTACAGGTATTTCTTTGTTTCTTTTGCTCCTCCTGCCCTCTCCACACACACACACACCCTTTTTTAAATTTTGGTTCTGGGGATTAAATTTAAGCCTTGTTTGCTAGGCCAGCACTTTACCACTTTATCTCCCGCTGCCTACAGGTGTTTCTGTATCTCTTCGTTCAGGTCTCAGGTGTAGTGTCATTATTTCAAATAAGCCTTCTGTGAGGCCCTTATCTAATAAAGAGCACAGCTTGGGGTCCTTTTCCTAACTCTGGATTCCTTATTGTGCTGAATCTCTCCCTGGCCCAGTTGAGTGCTACCTGGCAGGCTGATAAATTGAGAGATGGTGTTGAGGCAAGGGAGATTAATTTTAAGATCTGGACTTCAAATTAATTGAGAAGATGGAGGAGTTGTCAAAATGCTCATCCTGAGGCTGGAGATGTAACTCAGTTACCAGAGTGCTTGCCTAGCATGCACAAAGCCTTGGTTTCCAACCCCAGTTACTGGGTAAACCAGAGGTGATCAGACATGCCTGTGATCCCAGTTGTTGGGAGGCAGAGACAAGAGGTTCAGAAAGTCAAGGTCATTCTCAGCTACATTGTAAATTCATGGCTAGCCTGGGCTACTTGAGACTTTGTCTCAGAAATCTGAAAACAAAGTCCATTTGGGGAGAAACAAATTTAAGAGTATGTTATATAAGCAGTGATGGGTGTTCCCAGGCTGGTGCGAAGATAATAGCGTATTCAGAAACCTGGCCTTGATGAGAAGCTCCTTCTTAGGAAGCATCTGTTAGCATGTGTTCCTTTGCTCCCTGGAGGATGCTTTTCCTGAGAATAATACTCCTCATCGCTTGGCATGCCAGGACTGACTTCATGTACTGGTGCCACTTCCCACTGGGCCCACATTTTGCAATACAAGTTGATTTCATCTGCTTCTCTGGAAATCCAGGCACTGTTGGCCATTGTCAAGATGCTTTTCAGTTCTGCAAATCTTAAGAGCAAACGTTATTTCCTCACACTGTTCTTGCTACTGTAGTTTGTCCAGAGTTTCCTGACATCTTACACAAGGGAGAGGCCAAAGAGGATAGCTGACACTAAACCCTGTGCTGATAGACAAAGAAAAGAACATATACTTCACCTGATTATTGTGGACAAGGGTAGGGTGAAGTTAAATAGAGTTACACAGAGCTCTGTCCATCTCTCTCTCTCTCTCTCTTTTTTTTTTTTTTTTTTTTGAAACAGGGTTTCTCTGTAGTCCTGGCTGTCCTGGAACTTGCTCTGTAGACCAGGCTGGCCTCAAACTCGCAGAGACCCACCTGCCTCTGCCTTCTGAGTGCTGGGATTAAAGGTGTGGGAGTTCGTGCTTATGTGCATATACCTATAGAGGCCAAAAGAGGAGAGGGCATTAGATCCTCCAGAGCTGGAGTTCCAGGTGGTTGTGAGCCACCAGATGAAGGTGCTGGAAACAGAACTCAGGTCCTCTGCAAGAGTACTGCATGCTTTTAACCACTGAGCTATTTCTTCAGCCCTATACAGTTTCAGTCCTGGTGGAGGACACTTCTACCCATCAGGAAAAGCTATCTATAAAAACTAGTAAGTACTTTTATCTTCCCTTCAGCAGGCTGGATCTTGGTGAAGTCAGATTTCCCAGAGTTCACCGGAGTGTTGGTCTCATTTGGACCCTTCCTGGGTAAGGACTCTCTGTTTTGGATTCACTTGAGCACAAATCTGGCATCTGGCTGAGATATCCCATGCTAGGCTGCCCTGTCTAGGTATAACATACCTTGTTCTGAGACACACAGAAAGTTGTGTGGATCCCAGATGAGTATCCTGGCGAAGGTCAGTTACCAGAGTCCTGCCAGTCGTTTCTGGGAGAATAACCTTTCCCTCTGGTGTCCTCTGTCAACTCCTGGGTTCGAGCTGTCCAACTCTTCTTTACCATGGAGTCTGAGGCAGCACTGGGACATGGTATGTCATCAGAATATCAATAGGCCCCACTGGTCTTAGGGCTCTTTGTCTGGCAGCCAGGTCATCAGCCCAGCAGTGGAGGACAACAATTTGTAGGAGAAGCCAAATAACCTCTAGGAGGGCCAAGGTTTTATTTATTTATTTATTTATTTATTTATTTATTTATTTATTTATTTATTTATTTATGTCCCTTTTCCCAGTGGTGAGATGCCCTCTTTCTTTATAGATCATGCCATGGACATGCCCGGTAGGTAGTAAAAGCATACTGACTGGCAGGCATTCCGTGTATATGGAGGTGGACTTTCCTCCGACAAGCATCACCAGGCAAAAGGGTAGCTGAACTGATGGCGGTGGGTTTCTCCAACAGGACTCCAGGGTGGGCCAAGAGTCAGGCCTGGTACTGGGTCACACAGTTATTAGACAGCCAGCATCCTGGTGTTCCTCAGAGGAGGGCCTCAACCACATCGTAGGGTGTTGTGAGGATAAGATCTGGACCCAGAGTTAACTTGTTTGCTTGTTTTTCATTAAACTAGTAATAGCCACCAGAGCTCTTAGGCAGGTGGGCCATCCTATGGCTACAGGGGCCAATCCTTTGGACAGGTTTGTCACAGGGCATTTCCATGGCCCCAAAGTTTGGGTTAAAACTCCTTTTGTCTTTGGTCTTTTGCTGGGACAGGCATCCTGGTGCCCTGCCAGTCTCCCTGGAATACACCTCTCCTGCCTGTGAAGACACCTGGGACCTCTGATTCTCATGAGTCTGATTGTTCCAGAGAAACAGGTGTGCACTGTCTTGGACCTGACAGGTGTATTCTTCAGTCTCCCACTGGCAGAGGTGAGTCAACCCATCTTTGCTTTTAAGTGGACAGACCTAGTGGGAAGTTACAGCAGGCAACTTACACGGACCAAGTTGCCTAAAGATTTAAATGTTTGCTCGCCCTGTTTGATGGGACACTGAAGGCTGACCTCCTGCCCTTCTACCAGAGGTTTCCCAGGAAAATCGACTGTAAAGGGGCCACTGAGGGACTGCTGCAAGAGTTACAGACTGTAGCATGCTGGCTAAGAAAGCCCAGCTTTGTACGTCAGAGGCTATAGATCTTGGCTACCAGCTGAGGGGAGGTGAAAGGAGCCTGTCTCAGAGTAGGACTGCTGCCATAAAGACTCAGAGACAGGTTTGAGAGTTCCTAGTGCAGCTGGGTATTGCTGCCTCTGGATACCAGAGTTTACTGAAATAGCAAGGCCTCTATACACACAGAGAGACAGTAAAGACAACCAGGGTGCCCCCCCCACATTCATACACCTAAACAGACAAAGGGATCTAGTGACATCTCACATGGATCCCAGACACGGTGTTAGCAGTTGTGTCCACCCTCTCCTATGTCTGAGTCCAAACAGAAGGCGTCTTATCCAGACGCCTTTGTTTCTGGAGGTGACAGACCAAACAACTTTCTAATGTGTTCCTTTTGGGGTGGAAGTGTCAGACCCTCCTGAATCACTAGGCAGTGATAGATCGAAGGGAGCCCTGGGGACCTGGGACATCTGGGGCTGTGCCCCCTCCAGGAGCCCCTTCATTGCTCCTCACTCCAGGGGCCTCTGAGACTTGCTCTGCCCCACCCCCCGCCCCATGTTTCAAGGTCTGGTCTCTGGGATCTCGGTGGGACCTCCAGAAATGCTGTAGGGTAGTCTACAGAAGAGACTGCTCAGACATGGGTTTAAGCCAATGAAAGTCTTTATTAGCCGGCTGGTGACTACACTGGGTGCTCAGGATCCCAGTGTAGCCCCTAGCTTTTCTCAGGATGAGTTTTTAAGCACAAAAATGTGTTCTGGGTTCACATACTTCAGTTAACGAGAACAGTTAGCCAGAAGCAGAACTGCGGAAGTCAAAATGCAAGGTTAGTGCTCTTAGAGACGTTCCCAGAACTGTGGACTTGGATGGATTAGGTCTTTGTTTTCATTTTTTGGCAGGTGGTGCTGTCTACATGCTGAGTTTTATTTTACAGCCTGAATGGCACTTCCATCATGGAGCCAGCTGTGCTAAGGTTCAGGATTTACTAAGGTCTGGGGCCCTGCTACAGTAAGGTTGGCCTGTGGCCATGTCTGTGGGCAGTTACCTTGATGATATTATATGAGGTGGGGAGACCTGCCCAACTGTGGGCAGTACCATTGCCTAGGCAGAGGTTGCTTCTTGACTGTGGATACCATGTAACCAGCTGTTTACAGCTCCTGCTGTTGTGACTTCAGTGTCCCTTCAATGATCAGTCTCCTGGAACTGTGAGCTAAAATAAAATAAATGCTTTCTCTCCTATATTGCTCTGTTTTGTTGTTGTT